ATCTATGAACAATATTTGAATCTTCTCTGAATTCTTTTATGTACGATTGGTTATCTTTGCAAGTCTCTTTGAATTATCAGTTTGGTTTGGCCTACTATGTTGATCTTTCTTGCAATGGAAGAAGTGCTTAGCTTTGGGTTCAATCTTGCGGTGTCCTTTCCCAGTGACAGTAGGGGCAGCAAGGCACATTGTATTGTTGCCATCGAGGATAACAAGATGGGTTTTTTATCATATTGCATGAATTTATCCCTCTACATCATGTCATCTTGCTTAAGGCGTTACTCTGTTCTTATGAACTTAATACTCTAGATGCATGTTGGATAGCGGTCGATGTGTGGAGTAATAGTAGTGGATGCAGGCAGGAGTCGGTCTACTTGTCTTGGACGTTATGCCTATATACATGATCATACCTAGATATTCTCATAACTATGCTCAAGTTTGTCAATTGCTCAACAGTAATTCGTTCACCCACCGTAAAATACTTAAGCTCTTGAGAGAAGCCACTAGTGAAACCTATGGCCCCCGGGTCTATCTTTATCATATTAATCTTCCAACACTTAGTTATTTTCATTGCCTTTTATTTTACTTTGCATCTTTATCATAAAAATACCAAAAATATTATCTTATCATATCTATCAGATCTCACTCTCGTAAGTGACCGTGTAGGGATTGACAACCCCTTATCGCATTGGTTGCGAGGATTTATTTGTTTGTGTAGGTGCGAGGGACTGGCGCGTAGCCTCCTACTGGATTGATACCTTGGTTCTCAAAAACTGAGGGAAATACTTACGCTACTTTGCTGCACCACCCTTTCCTCTTCAAGGGAAAACCAACGCAGTGCTCAAGAGTTAGCACAGATGCTAAGGGGTCAATCAGCTGATCCATGCCGACCATTAGCCAGGTCGTCGTTCGTCCGACCAACCTCCTTGTAACCATTGGATTGAGTCAACACAACTTCCTCTGGAGGGGATGCGAGGAGACACGCAATAAGGTGCATGATGAAGATGCCGAGGCACACGGGGAAACACACCGCATCGGCAGCGCTGCTTTTAGCTTAGGCGGTGACTCCCGTCGCAGCATCGGTCGGTTGCATCACTGGCAGCGTCCTGCGGTGCCGATAGAGACCCCCTTGGAGCACCTCCGACACCCCTTTGCAACATGCTGGTTGACATGTTTCAACAACATTTGGCGTGTTTGTCGCATGCAGTGCCGAAGGTGACAACCCTTGTCCAATGACGCTCTTGTAGCACGGCTCGACAACCTCGCAGTACCATGCCGGTCTCGTCGACTCACAATGATGATTGCTTGGTGCTTGTGGCATCGAGCGGCGATCATTGAAGCACCTTTGTAGCACCGTGCGATCAGCCCAAAACAACGAGTGATGTGTGGTGGCCAGCTTGTAACACTCGACCAACACACAATGCAAGCTTTGAGAATGCAGAGAGGAATAATGATTGTTGCAACCTTTGGCGGATAGAGTGGAGAGAGAGAGACGAGACGAGTGAGAGAGGGGGGAGAGAGGGAGAGAGAGACGAGACGAGTGGGAGAGAGGAGAATGGGTGAAAAAGATGTCCAAGAAGGTTAAAATATAAGAAAAAAATAGTTATAGGGAGCCGGGGAAAGCGGTGTGCAAAACCACACGATGTCACACGAGTGAGGGGAGTGATTTTTCTTGAAATCAGTGGGTTGCGTATAATATTTTTCCTTAAATGATAGCACCTATTCCCTCCGTTCGGAAATACTTGTCCTCGAAATAGTTGTATCTAGACTCATTTCAAGGACAAGTATTTTCGGACGGAGGGAGTACAAGTCAATTGTCTAGAAATGTTTCACCTTCCGGTAGATTTGACGTGAGCCTTTG